CAAACACACACACACGCACGCACGCACGCACGCACGCACGCACGCACGCACGCACACACGATCTCTATTTCTCTTCCTCACCTCTTACTCTTATTCTTCCTGTCTCTCTCCCCCTCTCTCTCTCTCTCTCTCTCTCTCTCTCTCTCTCTCTCGCTTTCTTTGTCACTCTCACTGCATATATACTTCCTACACAACACTCTGGACCCTGATTCTCTCATGACCATTTCTTCCCTCCCTCCCTCCATCACATTCTAATTCTACTGCCCTAACAACATCATCATTTTTGTATGTCATTCCCTCCCTACCTGTAGATTGTTGATCACTGTTGCAGCTAACTTCTCGAGAAACGTCGGGTCTCTTTCTTCTAAAACAAATAAACGTACATACATAACGAAGGTGCAGAGACATAATCTGAATAACATTTCGTGGAGGCAGTTTGGAGATGCCATGAGACACAGTAGTATGCTAGATTCACTAGAAGCCGACGCACGACGAAATAAGCTGCGTTACGCCGTGTATTTCATAGCCCGCTGATGCCACAAGAACAGCGCGAACGATGCCCGTCAATACACAACATGACAACCATCCACCTTTATCTCGCCTGATACTTTCACTCGGGCCTTATCCTCTCGAAACGATAATAATATTTAGTGAATTATAAATCATGTTTAGTGAAGCCCCTGCTGCCTCTACCTGTGGGGAGAACCTCCAGTCTGTCGAGAATAACTCGCTTGTGAGCCCGCGCCAACTGCTTCTCCTTGGCCTCATCGTATTCCCTGTCCGTGGTCGGGCCCGCCAGCACAAACAGCTCCTCGACTGCAACTATCACCGGTGCTGTGTACAGCTGCGTCCATGGAATCGTCAATGTCAATTTGCCTGGGAATAAGAGCAGCAGGCTGTGTGAGCGTGTACACAACCCGAGGGGTTGTACGACGGGGAATCGTAGAATGCACTAGCTAATAGCTAATCAGGTTCAATGGCTTAATGCTTTAATAGCAGCTAATCAACTGGTATTTACGTGTTTAATTTCACATCAAACGGCCTGATAATCATGGAAGCCTGAAGCCTGGAAGCATAATAATATCAGATATGTTCAAGGATGGACAGGCAATTTAGTATAGATTTTCTTCTAATTTCAGAGTTCAACACACTGAATGCCAGAGTCGCATCCTAGGAGCCAGTCACGTGAAATTCCCGACACTGGTACACACGAAGCGGAAACCATCCAGTATATTAAACTTAATCACCCTTACGGGGCATACATATATAAATTTCTTACAATGTGCTAAATCTGATTCCTAACATATTTCAAGGGTCGACCAAAATTGCTTGATTTTCATCTGGGCAGTCTTATCAACTCTGTACGATCATCGACCCGTTTATGATGCAATGCAATAACTCCTCATGGATTTCACTTCCCGAGTAGTAGCATGAGTTGAATTTATAATGAGAATCCTTAAACAGACTAACCAAACCGAGAGCTAAATTGCCAATTTTGTTTGAACCATCTCCTCTGCCAATATCAGGGGTGCAATCTGATTGAACCCAGGTGCAAGCAACACAACTCAATTTCACAATTTTCTCGAAATGTGGCAATTAAAGGAGATACAAGACGATTATGGATTGTTGAATTGTGAAAACTCTCTCTCAGTGGGTGTAATATAAACGGGTATTAACAGTTGTGTTGCTAGATACGAAAAGTGTACAGCCTTCAAAGATTTTGTGTAAAACATACATCATTGGTTTTTCCTCACCCTAACTTTGCAAAACATAAACCCTAAAGAGAGTATGGTTATGCATACGAGCCTCTTTCCTTTATAAACTCAAGGAATTATAATTATCATGGAGACTTGTTAAAAACCTATACTTCCTAACTAATTAAGTAATAACTTGACATAGAAAGGAAATGACAACCATGCGATTGTCACCACAACAGAAATGCATTCTTTAAGCAATTGTATATCTATCTCATTATTATGTGGTGAAGTCTAACCCTTTCCCTACAGAAGCTGATATAGGAGGGGGAGGACAGGCACACGGTGGGGCGGTGTGGAGTAGGCGGTACCCGGTGTGGTACTGCACGGTAGCGGTGTGTGTGAGGCCGGTGTGCGGTGTATGACTGGGCGGTGTGTATTTTTTTTTAGTGTGTGCAATGCCCTACGTATCTCTTGCATCCGAAATTATTCCATGAAATTCAACACGAATTGGTTTAAATAAATCGATCGAGAGTGCAGTAGAACCGAATGTACAACGTAAGCGCGTAACATAACGTCATCGGCATATGTTAATGCTCCGGTTGAGTCACGATTTCCGCTCAGCCGAGCTTATTCCCCCTGCGTTCGTATAGAGTTACTGCCCCTGCTAGCATCCGGGTGTCTTGCTTCAAAATATGGCGGCTTTTGTTCAGGCAACTCTACATATCTTCAAGCAAAAGACCACGACACCCTCGACAAGTATCAATGTGTTTGTCGAGATTGACCCCCGTAATGACTATACGTCATTCTTGCGTCAAATTAGGCGCGACCATGGAATTGATGCGAGGTGTGCCAAGCTTGGCATCGCGGATATTGACTTGGAGATTTGCGTCCTCGACAAGACCGCGCGGCAAACCACTGTTGTGACCATGGGCGTAAATCCCGGGGGGATGGGGGGATGCATCCCCCCCGCTCTTGAAGGAGGGGGGATGGCCTGTACACAGGGGCGCAAATCCAGGGGGGACAGGGGGACATGTCCCCCCCACGAATTTTCAGAGGGGGGACATCATATCAAATGTCCCCCACGATTTTGGGATCACCATGATTTTGTGTGTAAGTGTGTGTGGTGTGTGTGTGTGGCAAAGCGTCGGAAGCAATAAAATAGTTGCCGCGGCTTGGTGATAGGGCGACCCCGCGCGGAGCGCGACAGCCACCCCTAGGGGCGGTCTGGGGGCATGCCTCCGCCGTGAAAATTTTTGAGAATCTACAAGCCCAAATCGGAAGTAGACGGCGGAGCAAGGAATGTGTGCCAGAAGTTCTTGGCATCATAACATTTTATAGCTACACGGTGACTGCAGCGGGCGATGCTACAGGATTCTGGGACCGGGTGGGTCTAACCAGTAAGACATACTGCGAGCACGCGAAGGGGGGGTTGTGGGGCCCTCCCCAGAATTTTTTTTGGAAATTAGACCCCTCAAATGCGTTTTCTCGCTGAGCAGGGGGGGGTGGTCCGGACTACTTGGACCCCCACTCCCCCTTGATACACGCCCCTGACCTGACCTCAATCTGACCCGGTCTCGCTTATAAGGGGCCTAGATTTTACCACGTATATACAATGATATATTGTACCCGGCCAAAAAGACGTTATAATTATTCGAATGATTTTTGGTTACGGAAATTATGCCTGAAAAAATGCCGCGGCGTGCGCCGCGGCTGCCGCGGCCAGTTCCGACGCGCCCTTGTGTGCTGTGTGTGTGTGTGTGTGTGTGGCTATGTGTGGTGCTGTGTGTTGTGTGTCGTGGTGTGTGTGTGTGTGTGTGTGTATGCGGTGTGTGTGATGTGTTTTGTGAACGTAGAGAAACCTACGCTTTTTATTGTGTGTGATAGTGCGTCAACGATAGGCTTCTTTCCCTTATTTTGCCAGCTTTCATTTCATTCAAGTGCATAATAATGATCATGCACAACTTAAGAAAAATGGCGCTGTCTTTGATAAGATTGAGTACCTTTCTTTTTTAACCGTTTGTTTTTATCTTATATTTAAATAATTCTTATGCAGAATCATTCAGGAAGAAAGTATGTTGTATGAAAGTTTTAGGAGTATCACTCACATTAGACACCTGATTCAAGGATTAGCTGGGAACACGAGGCTATATTCACGCAAGAGAGGACACTGCAGTAACTGAGCATCGGTTTTAATAATGTACATTTTCAATATGCAAATTGATGATATTATTATGACAACGCCATATATATGATATGACTTGGACAAACCAATACCAACAGCACCAATTTATTTTGTGATCAACCTCAACACCAACGATGAATTGGTTTTTCTGCTTTTTGTTTTTCTTGAATTTTATGACCTGCATTCGTGAGACAACCCTTTTCGTAATCTTATCACAAACCAAATGCATTGCCTGCTGTGTGTGGTGTGTGTGTGTGGTGTGTGTGTGTGTGTGTGTGTGATGTGTGTGTGTGTGTGTTGTGGTGTGTGTGTGTGCAGGGGCGCTGTTAAGCAGGGGGGGGGCACGTCCAGGGGGTCCCGGACCCCCCCTGCTCGCGCAGAAAACGCATCTGAGGGCGGTCTAATTTCAAAAAATTCGCGGGGAAGGCCCCCCAGACCCCCCTGTCGCGTGCATCGCTACTGCATCGTGTCACCCCCCCAATTTCAAAATGATTTGCGCGGCCTGCCTGCTACAATCCCCCCCACGGGGAGATTCAAAAAAAAACTCCTGCCTCCGCTGCACCCACTTGAAAGTTCAGCTAATTATGATACATTTGGAGAACCGCGCAGGACCTAAAGTCATTTCAATTACTGCAGCGGGCATGTACAGCGCGTGGGGGAGGGCGCTCCAGCGGGTGTCGGACCCCTCCCTGCTCGCCGCAGAAAACGCATCTGAGGGTCTTAATTTCAACAATTTTCTGTTGGAGGTCCCCCAGATTCCCCGCGATTCGCGTGATCATCCCCCACTCCTCGCGTACGAATTTCAACGCCCTGTTGTGACAAACCCAAGTTCCGGGCATATATGTACAGCCAAGATTTCGCCAGAGAGCAGACTTACGATGGCTAAGTATATTACAATTGGCCAATTAAATGAGGATGTTTATTTAAGAAATGCCAGTGCTTTTCGACATGCACGGAGTAGAGCCAGATGAGTATCCAAACGGTGGAAAACCAGCACAATTGAGAAGAGCAAGTGCTTTCATTCACATCACGGGGACGCCAGTAGTTAAACCCAGTCGCGTACAGGGAGCCAGAGTATTACTAAAGAGTAAGAAGACAATTAGTGTAATATTATGGGACAGACATTATCCTGGTTTGGTGCATGCTATATTATTATAGTTAATATTGATTTTAATCTCTGTGGCTGCATGTAAAGCCATATCATTATCTGTTGACATTGTTCCAGTCTACAAGGAGGATTTTGCGATAGCATCTCTGTGCGTGACTGCTACATGTAAATGCAGACTGCTTATCTGTGACAATTTCCTCTACAAGAGGGGATTTGGATGCATCTCTGTGATGATGGATAAATGCAGACTGTTATCTGGCTGACATTGTCTCCGTCTAATGGTTATCCTAGCTATGGAAGAATGTAAAGTAGTAGTTTGCAGTGTAGCGAATGTATTATTTAGCGAATTATGATCACTTAATACGGTACGGTACTATAAGGGGGAGGGAGGTGGGGAGGGTTAAGGGGCGAGGGAGTGGAGGAAGTGGGCAGGAGGTGGCGGAGCTAGGGGCTGAGGCGGAGGTGGGGAGGAAGGACCCCCTGTCCCCCCCTCCATATAGGGTACGCTGGCTCAGTACAGTAGCGTGGCTATACAGTAGCCAGTGACAACAGGCTTGCAATATGTCTTAAGTAGATAAATCAATATAGTGGCCAAATCTATATATCCCCATGGAACATTGCGCACATTCACGCCCATAAACACGCACGCATGCATGCTGCGTAGTCCTTCCTACCCGCACACACGAACGCACTCACTCACATATGCATGCACACACACGCATACATTTGCTCTGTTCCTCTTTCACTCATGGTCTCTTCTCTCTACATCAACAATAAACATTTTTCCTGCTGGAATCACTCAGACTTTAGGATTTAGGCTCGCGACTGAGACTGGTGTGGTGACCAACAGCGCTACGCATGTTAACATCAGTGGAATTTCGCCAGAGACAGATCTGCTAGCAGCTCCAGTACCCTCTCAACAGCATATATAATAGATAACGCTGCTCTTCATTCGGCTGATGCATCATTAGGTTCCTTTTGCAGATTCTCTGACGAATAAGTTTTGACTACACAGAGAGAGATTTTATCCAATCACAGGGGAGTTTGCATATTGCAAGTACACGCATATTGCAATTTATACATCATATAATGTAAAATTATTCATGAATAAACACAAGTACACACAAAACACAATGTAATATGAAAATGGATTGTACCCTTAGTTGATAAGGTAAGGCCACACCGTTTCTCCCTTACCACAATTTTTAAACCCGTTAACCCACTTTCTTTTTAACACCTGGGCTGAAAGCTGGCCCATCCCCTAATTATCCAATTTACCTCACACCTACCACTCTCCAACTCTCCGATAAATTACACCTAATGCCTGACTAATCATCACCGGAAATTTTACTTGGTCTCAATGCATCCAGTACATTCAACTTTCGTCATTATATGCTCTACAAGTTTAAATTTAACCCCTACCCAACAAGTCGAAATCCTCAAGGTCCTCCCGTAACAGGAATTGACACTACACGATTAACCTACTTTTTAACTTTCACTATGTGCGCACACTATCGGGCGTACGTTTGTATCATTGGCCGTCGCGTATACTCACCTACAAAGCCAGCTTTCACTTCAATCGGCAAATTCAACTCGGCCTAAAAAGAGCAGAAAACTTCGTGAGTTCGACAGTCAGCTGTGATTGTACAGCTACTATAAGCTCTAGTAAGTATATATAGTAGCTCTTCCGTCTGAAAATTTAATACACATTCGATGCAGTCGTAGCACCAGCAAAGGTGCTGTCCCGTTACACAAACGATTAGGCCAAACAAAAAAATACCTTTAGTTCGGGTCACATGGATTGTGAAAATTAGGGTAGGTAAGTATTTTTTTTTTTTTTCACACAAGTTAAATATACAGCTTGATACAGCTTGAAATGCAGCTTGAAATGCAGGAGCCACGAGATGCAAATTAAAAAAAAAGAAAAAAAAAGTGACCACAGTCGCACATTTTTTCACTCCGAAATGTGAAGTCGGGCGGGTGACCCGAACTAAAGGAAATTTTTTGGTCGGCCTTAGACCAGTTGTTCGCAATCTCACTTCACCACTAATGGATGAAGAAATGCAGTTCATAGACAAACCATGATTTTTCTTTGATAAACGAGAACTTTAAAACACAAACCCTACAGTAAGCAATGTGATCACTGGGTTCTGAGTCACTCTAAACCCACAGGGAATTCCATACTACTAGTAGTTAACAGTCATGCAACTGCTCTACCCGGTCTTTAACTGTTACTAATGTTATCATATACCATACTAAACTATTATACACCATGCTACAACATTTAGCATATAACATAGATTAGTTATACTAATCTATGCTACGCTACCCCACACTACACCACACCACGCCATGCTAGCCACGTCACACCACGCCACGCCACACCACACCACACAACACCACACCACACCACACCACGCCACACCACGGCATGCCTCTACATTACACTACTCCAAGCACAGCGGGCCAACTGCAACGAAACACCCCCTCCCAGTTTCATGCACTTCCATTATGGTATACTAGTATTACTACGTGCTATGTGCAAAGGTCAGCAGCTCACCAGGGCTTCAGGCTTCAGTCGCAGGTCGTACAGCTCGACATCGCCTGTAAAATGGAGGATAATGTCAAATCAATGCTCGCTAGAAGACGCGCACAGAGCTAGCAGCAGGCACACAGCAACGAAGCCGCAATAAATGGTAGCGTACATGCCTGCAATTATCGCCGGCGAGATTGGTGCGTTTATCTTAGAGAGCTCCGTATGAGATGATGGGCATGCAATCACCACTGAATGAAAATTGTGGTCGACTATGGATTGCAGGAACAGTTCTTTATATATGTAATATTGCGAGGGCCATGAAACATGTACTGAAGAATATTCACACATAGTTCTCAGAATCACAGGATCAGATGAAATTTTTAAAGCTCATCTCTGCATTCGGATAACAACTCATCACAATTCTATCCCACAGTCACGGTGCCAACGACAGCGTCAATTAGTGCTGCATATATTGTGTAAAGCCTTGTTAATGCCACGTTCTATTATTGTATCCCCCGAACGAAGTTCGTGGGGATACTATGGGTTTAGCATCGTCGCCGCCGCCGCCGCCGCCGCCGCCGCAGAGGATTCCTTGTGAACGCTCTACCGGCTGCAATTGTTCTCCGATCATCTTCAAATTTTGCAGGAAGGTGCGTTATCGTAAAGCGAAGAAGCCATCGTTGCCATGGTAACAACATTTTTTCCCGAAACATTCTAGAACCTGTAACTTCTGCAGTTTTTACCCGATTGTCATGATTCGAAATTTATATTTGTATTAAAATTTATATTAAAATTTATATTAAAATTTACATTAAAATTTACATTTAAAAATTTAAAAATAAAATTTAAATTTAGATTGTCATGAAATATATATATATATACATATATAAAAGCCATGTGTATTATCGGCGGCTCTGTGTGGCCAAATTCCATTGTATAATAGAGGTAAAAACAGCACAAAGTTACAGGTTGCATCAATAAGTTTCCACAAAAATGATTCTTAACCATAGGCCAACATCGACTCCGCCCACACCAAAAACGATTGCGTCTTTCGCTTTACCAGTAACGCACCACTGCACCCATACCCCCCTCCCCCCTGTGTGTATTCCATATATCTTGGCCACATCTGAGGCAGACCAGTTGTCTAACAAATCTTTGTCTTTGTGACTTATTTAACTTTACCTGCCTTCTACGTCCTTACAGAGATATTCCATTACTAGATCACGGGGATACATGTAGTTGGCGACAACTGCTCGTTTCTAGTTTGTGTTGGGTAAGTGTACATCTTTCTTTGACATCAAGGACCTATGCAGTAAATTCAGAGACGAATACTGGTGATGTAAATAGCACCATGTGTCCACAACACAAATTCACGTGACAGCTTTATGAATTTTCCATCTGGTCCAGACACCTCGTTGCTTTGCTTTCTTATTCTGGTACTTGTGTTGTTGGTACTTTGTTTCTTCCTCGCTTGTTCTGTCTTTCTCTCTCTCTTTCTCTTTCACTCACACGCGCACGCATTCACGCACGCACGCACGCGCGCGCGCGCGCTCGCTCACTCACTCACTCACTCACTCACTCACTCACTCACTCACTCACTCACTCACTTACACATTCAATCATTCACCCCCTCTCTCTTCTGCATTTGCTCCTCTCTTATTCTATGTGGCTTCCCTTTTCGCTCTCCTTTATTTTCCTCTCTCTCTCGGTCTGCCCGCCTGCCCGCCCATCAACCCACCCCCTACCAACCACCTACATTACCTACCTACCTATCTTCCTGCCTGTCGGCCTGCCTTGCCTGCCTGCCTGCTGCCCGCACCCGCCCCGCCCGCCCGCTTGCCTGCCTGCCTGCCGGCCTGCCTGCCTGCCTGTCTATCTATCTATCGATCGATCTCTCTGACACATAGATAAACACTAATACAAATTCTCATTTTCTTCCCGTGTCTTCTAATGGGGGAGTGAGTAATCGGGTGCTCCTGTCCAGTTGAGAGCATTTATCAGGCTATTATATGCCCTACTCACGCCTGAATCATTTATAATGTGTGTTCCACCACCGCCTTTTTCCTGAGCCATTAGTTTTACCCATTTAGTCCTACTCTCAGCTACATCTTTTTTTCCAGAGCCCTTAGCTCTACTACCTATTAGCCATTCACCCAGCCACAGATTTTACCAGAGCCTATCTTTAGCCCTACGCACGTCTCCACAGCGGTCAGCGGATGGTCTGTAGTTGTAGAAGATAACAATGAAGACTTTGTTCTAAACAAGAACTATCAATTTCATGGGTCCTCTGGCCATGTCCAACTATATAGTAGCAGGTAGAACAGTAAACGTAAGATTCCCCCTCCCCTGTATATTAGACTGCCCCTACCTAGAATTCAAGGAGCAAAATAGTCATATAAGTGAGTGAAAACGGGATGAAATGATTAAGCAGTAGTTACGCAAAGTGATAAATAAATAATGAGTAGCCTGATTGCGTGCAACCATTTTGCATCTCGAAGGAACTGCCTGGTAGGCGCATTACTTGATGAATGCGGCTGACATTTAAGATAATCACACAACAGCTACTAGTTAAAAACAAAGTGGATATGGAGAGCACACAGATACTACTTTCTGCCTCGCACTTCAGGAAATTAATCAACGATACGCAGCCAGCGGGGTTTTAAAAAAACAGGCACGCTGCACGTACACACGCACTATATAATAATATAGGGAACGTATAGATATTTGAGCGCTGTTTCGAACGGGTTTGTCACAGATCCATCCCCCTGCCACGGAGCTCTACCTATGCAAGTGAATACGCCATTATTCCACGAAAAACTTGCACTCGTAATGAAATTACTTCACGGCAACTATAACATCTAGCTTCTTGAGATGCTCTACAGAATTCGAACGTTTTTAAAGGGCCGGACACACTAGGTGATTTTCACCGGCGACTCAGTCGGGCGACTCAATGGCCGGTGAAAATCGCCTAATGTGTCCAATCAGTCGCCGCCGATTTGCAGCAGCGACTTAGTCGCCCGATTCGATCGCATCGATCAGAACGTTTTGATATTATCGCGCGACTTTTTAATCAATCGCCCTTCAGTCGCCTAGTGTGTCCAGGTCGGTGAATGAGTCGCCCGATTGTACAATTCATCAGCCAATCAAACGGTGCCATTTTCAATCATGTGACTATCAATCTAGGTGGCGCGAGTGTTTTAGTGTTGCAGCGCGAGAAAAATCGCCGATGAATCGCGCTGATATATTCGCCTAGTGTGTCCACTCTCAGTCGCCCGACTCATTCGCAGGCGACTCACTCGCCTGAAAAATTGCCTAGTGCCCTTAACCATCGCACGATAGATGACCGATTATGATTTTATGTGACCAAAGCTTGCACATTTCATTGCAAAGGATAAATGAATAATTAAATGCTTTCGACGCTGATCAGGTGTGTTGCATCGTGCTCACTTTAAGCGAGGCATAAGCGGCTGCACCGCACTAATGGCGCTTATATTTTATAGATACATATTGAAGCAGTTGCCTGGAATAACGTGGCTGTTTTCATCGAGCAGACTCGGTACATACAAGCACGTCGTTTCCCTCAAGGTAGTTGTTTTATTTGATCCTAGCTCTACAGTGCAGCCTCTTCACTCATGCTACAGGAACTACGACTTCTTCTTACTCTTCTACTCCCTGCATTGGAAGCGATTGGGCTACGCTAGTAGCGCTGCTTTAAACCCAACTAATGATTCGTGTAAGAAACCCCATCTATAAGTATAGGTCGTCATGGTGAACGAACGAAAAATGTAAATTAAATATGGAAATTCGGGTCATTAGAATACAGCTAACAATTTCGTGAATACTTAAAACTGTGTGAGCTGCACAGAAACTGCTACATAAGCATCAAATGATGGAGGTTTAATAATGCTGCACTAACGAGGACGTCCATCAATGCTCTTGGATGGTTAACCAATCAGAAAATTCCGGGTAATCTCAAGATAAATGCATATTATAGTGGTCTGTTAGCGACTTGATTTTCAACTAGTCTAGCTGTCCTTTTAAATCTGAATGAAATTGCTTGGGCATGTCACTTGATGGATGTAAGTGACGAGAGTTGGTAATCCGATGAACTTGTCCTAGAAAATCCAAGCTAGTTTATCCTACTATCTACAAACATTCATTGCTACACGCCAAGCTCCGTTTCATAGCTCACCACAGGAGAAACTAGAAAGGGCAGTTGTCGCCAACTACATGTATCCCCCGTATCTCTCCAAGATGTGTAAGTATACAAAGTTTGGTCGCGCTAGGTAAATTAGGGGCCGAGTTATAGAGCGGAAAGGAAATATGATAAAGGTCAAGGTCAATGTCGAATAAAGGTTGCAGTGACGTGGTTTCGGTACGCGACACACCTTCTCCCCAAGATGTGTAAGTATACCAAGTTTGGTCGGGCTAGGTCAATTAGGGGCCGAGTTATAGAGCGGAAAGGAAATATGATCAAGGTCAAGGTCAAATAAAAGCCGCAGTGACCTGGTTTTGGTACGTGACACAGATTCTCCCCATAATGTGTAAGTATACCAAGTTTGGTAGACCTAGGTCAATTAGGGGCAGAGTTATAGAGCGGAAAGGAAATATGATCAAGGTCAAGGTAAAGGTCAAATAAAAGTTGTAATGACCTGGTTTTGGTACGCGACACAACTTCTCCCCAAGATGTGTAAGTATACCAAGTTTGGTAGCGCTAGGTTAATTAGGGGCCGAGTTATAGAGCGGAAGGGAAATATGATTAAGGTCAAGGTAAAGGTCAAATAAAGGTCGCAGTGACCTGGTTTTGGTACTCTGACCACCGTCTCCCCAAGATGTGTAAGTAGACCAAGTTTGGTAGCGCTAGGTCAATTAGGCGCCGAGTTACAGAGCGGAAGGGTAATATGATCAAGGTAAAGGTCAAATAAAGGTCGCAGTGACCTGATTTTGGTACACTGCCCACCTTCTCCGAGAGATGTGTAAGTATACCAAGTTTGGTAGCGCTAGGTCAATTAGGGGCCGAGTTATAGAGTGGAAAGGAAATATGATCAAGGTAAAGGTCAAATAAAGGTCGCAGTGACCTGATTTTGG